TGCAGAGTCCCTGCGTGCAGCTCCCCGGCTTCGTGAGAGGGAGCTGGTAGCAGATCTGCCGTTGCCCCCATCTAACCCTGTGCTTTACCCGCAGAGGTAGCTTCAGCTACTGTGGTCACTGCGCCCTGTTCTGTTATTTACACTCTGAGTGTTACAAGGTCTTGGTTTGACCTATCCGCACAGTATAGTAGAGCCGTCTCTTTTTTTCAAGAGCCATCTTGAAACCATAGTGCAAGACTACAAAAACAAGCCTAACCTTAAAAAACGCTTTCCATCATATCCTTCCCATTTGTGGGAAAAACATCTGAATTATAATGATATGATGGAGATAAAAAACATCATGTTGCAGGGAAAGGGGTTTGCATCCAAGGTCTCCGGTGAGAACTTTACTCCACTCTTGATACCGGCTGTCACTTTGCTCCCCTGAAGTGCCTGTGTGCACGGTATATAAAGCCGCCTGGATGAAAAGCCTATCGACGTGTGATCCTAATAATATTTTACAGCTTTAATTACCATGATTGTAGTGCCTGAGGGTGTATGCAAAAACATTTCGAGTGGGAGGAGAGAAGGCAGCACTGCGAGCATTTTTGTGGCTTTGCTGGGCAATGCACAATTGAGTTTTCTCATGGGAACCACAGGATGCCAGGAAGAAAAGCTGCCTGCACCCTTTTGTCCTCTCCCCCGGGACACCAGATCGCACCCTGGGGTCAGGGACACCGCTGCCCTCACTGCGGTTTCAAGCAAAAGCTGCTCACTCTGCAGAGCGGCTCCCAGCACCGGCACTGTCCACCCCTGCGTGCCGCAGGTGGATGTATCTTTTCCTCAGGCCACGTTACAACCGGACTACACATTCTTAGAGTTTATGGTGCATAGGGTTGATGGTAGAAGGGCAATGGTACCTTCAGGACGATGCACTGGACAAGTTGCAAGAGCAGCTCTTCTGCAAGTACTGTCACTTAAGTACTGTCACTGTCACACTGTCACTTAAGTGTCAGGGCCAAGGTGCAAGTGCTTTATTTGCCCTTTGTTGGGTAAATACCTGGTATTTTAGAAACCTGCTAATACTCAGTCTAAGAAAAAAGGCTGTGAAATGTCCTGTTAATGAGTTAAGCACGAATCTTTTCTCACTTTATTTGGTCTGATGGCACTTAACAGTTTTGAAAGCATAAAACAATAGAAGAAATTCTAATTATATGGTAGCACCCGAAAACACAAAGCCAACGCTGACCCCAGCCTGCCACGGGCGACGAGCCAGGACACTCGCGCTCACCGAGCCAGGACACTCGCGCTCACCGTTGTTCAGCCGTTTTGGGTCGAGGTCTGCAAAGAGGAGAATGCGCCAGCTGGGGCTGGGATGGATCCTGACATTTGAAGCTACAAAAGGGTTGCCAGGAACCGCTGTTATTTAATGCAACCACGGGCCACAGGGGTGCCGGACACAGACCCTGCCGCCACCAAAACTCTGCAGCTGGGGCAAGGCAGCTGGAGGCTGCTTGGCAAAAAATAAAGAAAAAAGAAACAAAAAAGGCCTTTTTTTCCTTGCTTACAGTGTGTATGGCTCAGCATCAGGTGTCCTGGCATTAGAAAAAGTGTTTAAGCGCATTTCATGGAGAGTGCCTAATGCTCCACCGTAGGTACCCGAGTTCTCAGCAGGTGTAAGGACTTCTCTCCCTCCCTCCTCCCTTCCCTCTCACACCTTCCCTTCCTTCCTCCTTCCCTCCTTCGTTTCCTCTTGCTCCTTCCTTTTCTCCCTCCTTCCTTCCCTCCTGCTCCTTCTCTCCCTCCCGCTCCCTCTTCCTTGCCCCCTCCCCCCGGCGCATTCCCGCCCCGTGGGACCCATCGGGCCGCGGCGCCCGGCGGCCCCGCGCGCCCACGCG